CCCCTATGTTCACAGCAGCACAATTTACAATAACTAAGATTTGGAAACAGCCTAAATGTCCATCAGTAGATGAGTGGATTAAGAAACTGTGGTACATCTACACAATGGAATACTATGCTGCTATAAAAAAGAAGGAACTTTTACCATTTGCAACAGCATAGATGGGCCTGGAGAGCATTATGCTAAGCAAAATAAGCCAGTCGGAGAAAGATAAATATCACATGATCTCACTCATATGTGGGATATAATGAACAACATATACTGATGAACATAGACCCAGAGACAAAGAAACAATGAACAAACTGTCCAACCTCAGAGAGGAGGCTTGACTAACTCAAATCAACTAGGCCTACCACACATATGTAGAATAGTTTACCCAACAACAACAGGATATACATTCTTGTCAAGTGCACATGAAACAGTCTCCAGGACAGACCATAAGTTAAGGCATATAACATGTCTCAGTAAATTTTCATACAAAGTATTTATTTTTGCCCCAATGAATGAAGCTAGAAATCAGTAACAGAAGGAAAACTGGGAAATTTACATTATGTGGAAATTAACACATCTTAACCATTGACAAATGAGAAATCACAAGTGAAATTTAAAAGCACTTAAACGAATGAAAATAAAAACACAACATCCCAAAACTTGTAAGAAAAAACAAAGGCTGTGCTCAACAGAAATATATAGCTGTGAATACCTACATTCAGAAAGATCTCAATAACTTAATTTAATAATGGAAAACTAGAAAAAGAGAAAACTAATCCCAAAGCTAGCAGAAGGAAATATAGAACAGAGAAAAAACTGGAGAATAGAACAAGAGAGAATCAGTGAAGTTAAAAGTTGGTTTTTTGAAAAGGTCAACAAAATTGACAAACCTTTAGCTAGACCAGTGATGGCGAACCTTTTGAGCTCAGCGTGTCAGCACTTTGAAAAACCCTAACTTAACTCTGGTGCTGTGTCACATACAGAAATTTTTTGATATTTGCAACCATAGTAAAACAAAGACTCATATTTTTGATATTTATTTTATATATTTAAATGCCATTTAACAAAAATCAACCAAAAAATGAGTTCACGTGTCACCTCTGACTCGCGTGTCATAGGTTCGCCATCACTGAGCTATACTAAGAAACAAACAACAAAGACACAAATAACTAAAATCAGAAATGAAAATGGAGCCATTCCTATTGACCTGACAGAAATAAAAAGGATTATAAGAGAATAATATGAGCAGTTTTATACCAACAAATTAAGTAACCGAAATGAAATGGACAAATTTCTAAGACCACATAAATTACATAATCTGGCTCAAAAAGAATTAGAAATTTTCAATGGACCTTTAACAAGTTAAGAGATTGAATCAGTAATCTAAAACCTGCATACAAAGAAAAGGCCAGGACCAGAGGCTTCATTGGTGAATTTTACAAACATTAAAAGAAAAACAAACACCAATCCTTCTCAAACTTACAAAATAACAGAAGAGTTGGGAAACTTTATATGATTCCAGCATTACCCTAATACCAAAGCCACATAGAGATACTACAAAAAAATAAAATTACAGGTCAATATCACAAAATGTAGATGCAAAAATTCTCCACAAAATACTGTCAAGCTAAATCCAACAGCATATTAAAAAGATTATGTACCTTGACTAAGTGGGATTTATCCAAGCAGTGTGAAGATGGTTTAATATAAGACAATTAATCAGAATGATACATCACATTAATAGAATGGCAAGTGGCACATGAAATGATGCTCAACATTATTAGTCACTAGAGGCCCAATGCACAGAATTCGTACATGGGGCTTGGCTCTCGCAGCTGCAGCAGCTGCCTGAGCCCTTGCAGCCCTGGCTTTGTCCGGAAGGTCATCCAGCTGTCTGGTCTAATTAGCATATTACACTTTTATTATTATAGATAAGGGAAATGCAATGAGGTCAGGTACTATGCATCACTAAAATGGCAATAATTTTAAAAAATGAAAAATAGGTATTGGTGAGGATGTAGAGAAATTGGAACTCTTGTATATTGCTGGTAGGAATGTAAAATAATGCCACCCCTGTGAAAAACAATTTGATGGTTCTTCAAAAAGCTAAATATAGAATTGCCATATGACCCAGCAAACTACTACAAAAAATTTAAAAACAGGAATTCAGGTACTTGTACACCCATATTCATTGCAGCATTATTCACAGTTGCCAAAAGGTAGAAACAACTCAAGTATGCATCAACAGATGGATAAACAAAATGTGGTATATGTTTACAATAGAATATAGTTTAGCCATAAAAAGAATGAAGTTCTGCTGCATAATACAATAAAACATGGATGAACTTCGAAAACATAATACTAAGTGAAATAAGCAAAACACAAAAGGACAAATATTGTATAATTTTACATATAGTATAATATACAACATAGGCAAATTCATAGAAAGATTGGAGATTACTAGGGACTGAGGGAAGGAGGGAATGGGAAGTAATTTAATTGTTACAGAGTCTCTGGAATGGTGAAAATGTTTTGGAAGCAGTGATGGTTGCACAGTATTGTGACTGTACTTAGTACTGCTGAATTATTCACTTAAAATTATTAAAATGGCGAGACTTATTTTATGTATGTATGTATGTATATACACACATTATCAGAAGTTAGAAATTTAAAAATAAATACTTAAATTTTGTTATTTAACAAAACACTAATATGATAGAGACACACTGGACACCTGTATTTTCTCCTAAAGGTAGAGTTTACTGATCACAATAAATCTTGTAAATCAAGAGTTGGATTGCTGAATCCCTTGTTATTTTAAACTAGTGGCTTGGTGCACGAAATCGTGCACATTGAAAGGAAATTAATTAGAAGAAATATTTTAATATCGCTATTCATCCTTTCTCTATAATAGAAGTTTCAACCAAATTCACGATCAACAATGAAAGATCGAAATACACGCATGTGATTGGCGCCAGTGAGATCTTTATATGTATGGCACATGCTTGAATCAACTTATCCTTTTATATATAGAGAATGAACTTGCTTAACTAGACCAGCTTTCTGATTTAGCTAAACTTTTTCCAGCCCAAGGAAGCACCCCAACTTCTCTTTCAGGTAATTGTCAGCAACACAGCAGTAAATATCAACACGAAGCAGATTGTTATTGTAGATCACACAGGGAGAACAAAGGGTAAAATATTTAACTGCAGCAGTGTTTGACTATATATTGCACAGTGAGAAAACCTGAAGTCATTTTCAAGGTCCACCTTTTCTTCTTTTCAGTCAGGTCAAGTTCCTAAGCCCTCTAAATCTCCGTTTTCCAGCTAATGAAAAGAAAATAGGATTCCATTGAGTCTCCTATCTCCCTACTCCAGGACTTTTGTGAGGATCAAATGAGATGAGGCACAGGAAAATGCTTCACAGACATTTGGTTAAAGTGTAAATTGTTTGCACCTGGCTATAAAGCAAATCGTGTTCCTGGGCTGAAGAAACTCCAAGGAGGCTAGTCGCTAGGGAGAGGAAGCCAGATGTTGCTACGTGACATCATTACCCGGCACCCACAGCCACCATTTCTGGGCTGGGCTGGACTGTGGGTTGCATTTTGCAGCATGGGGTCTCATTAGCATTGGCTGTGATTTGGTGGGGTGTCACTCTGGGGTGGTTTTGGGGCCTGTGTCCCACTTGGGGGAAGCCAAGTATTGCTTTGTGGGCACCAGGTCTGCAGTGCCGTTTATTGATAAATGGCCTGTTGCTAGGGAAAGGAAGCCAGGTGTTGCTACGTACGTCATTACCCGGCACCCATAGCCACCATTTCCAGGCTAGGCTAGGCTGTGGGCCGCATTTGCACCATGGGGTTTAAGTCTCCATGACTTGAAGTAGGAGGACACAGTGTAGGTTGAATACACATTATTTTTTTATAATAAAATTATAGAAATTTATTTTTTATTTTTAAGACATGAATAACATTTTATAAAGTTATTTTAAGGAATAGGTAATTGGAGATTGTTTCTATTTAGAACAGTAAAGAGGTAAGAACAGAGTTAAAGGCATATGACCACTGATTTTCTGTTTTTGTAAGCATATAAATTACCTTGCTCTTCTGATTCTAGTTTCTTCTCTTGCAAACTTCCTGATAGAATAAAGTCTAAAGTTTATTTTTCTAAGGAAAATTTAGTTCTAATTGATTGATATGCTCTTGTGCATGTACTCAGATGTTTTTAGTAAATTTAGACCATATTCTGCAAAATGATATCATTTATTATAAGATGCTTTCTACATTAATCAGATACTCTTAGTAAATAATTTTATTGGAAACACATCATTCAGTGGAAATGTTTATAATTTTGGGGACAAGATAAGTATGATTAAAAAGAACACTATTATTTAACATTCAACTAGAGGTACTAACTGGTGCAGTTAGAAAAGTGGTGGATCTATATTTATATTTGTGTTTATATTAAAATGTCTCTTAAAGGATGTACAAATAGCAGTGACTATCTCTGTTTGGGAGGGTGGGGGAAGAAGACTGAATGTATAGGGATCAGGAGTGGGAGAGGAACTCTTCGTTGTATATCTTTTATGCTTTTTGATATTTGTGCCAAATTAATATTTCCTATTAAAATGAAATAAAATAGCCTTTGGCCAGGTAGCTCAGTTGGTTGGAGCATTGTTCCTACACCACAAAGTTGTGGGTTCAATCCCCAGTAAGGGTGTGTACAGGAAGCAGGCAACCAATTGATGTTTCTCTCTCACATTAATATCTCTCTCTCTCTCTCTCTCTCTCTCTCTCTCTCTCTCTCTCCACACCCCCCCCCCAAAAATCAATAAACATATCCTTGCATGAGGATTAAAAAATTAAATAAAATAATTTGTTAAGTTTTAATTAGACTATATCACCTTTGTTTTTATGTCTAAGTATTGTGCCATTGAACAGATAGTTTCAACAGTTGTACATTGGTCTTTAAAATTCAATGCAAATTCACATAATAGCATGTTTTTGTTTTCAGGTTAGTGTCCCGAAAATGAAACATAAGCCAACCAGACAACAGAAGAAAGTGGCAAAAGGCTATTCATCTCCAGAACCTGATATCCAGGACTCATCTGGAAGTGAAGGTAAAAATATTTATTGCAGACTATTCACTATAGGAATCTAATTTTTTAAAAAAGATATTACTATACTATGTTTGATAGATGAAAATTTTTTATGTTAATTTAAGAAGATATATAAAAGTTTTGGTGGGGGCAGGAATGGTGTGCCAAAAAAATGTTTTTAATCCCTATTTTAGATTATAGATAAATTTTAAGACCAGGCCACAGGTAAACGCATGGGGTATGGAAAAAGGGGGAAGCATGCAAATCAAGAACCACACTGTAGTGTTGCTCTTATGCCTGGTTAAGCTTCTGAAAAATTGTTGATGGCTTCCTAGATTCAATTCAGGAAGCATTTTTGAGCTTTGAGCTTAGTTCCATGCTTTAAAAAGTTTTTCATTCTCTAAATAAGTTGTCATAGTTATAGAAGTCAAGTAAATATATAGCTATACTAAAATTATGGGCTAAATTAACTAGTGTGCCATTCTTGTTCAAATCAGATGTGTAAACTGTGTTGAACTACACAGAGTTATAATCAAGAAAGGATTAAAGTAATGTCTGAGACACTATGAGAACAGGTTTTTTTGTTTTTTAAGTTTTTTTAATATATATATTTTTATTGATTTTAGAGAGAAAGGGAGTGGGAGAGAGAGAGAAACATCAATGATGAGAGAGAATCATTGATTGGCTGCCTCCTGCACGCCCCCTACTGGCGATCGAGCCTGCAACCCAGGAATGTGCCCTTGGCCGGAATCGAACCTGGGACCCTTCAGTCCACAGGCCGATGCTCTATCCATTGAGCCAAACCAGCTAGGGCAAGAACAGGTTTTTTAAAGGCATAGTCTTTAAGCTCACACTAAACTGGGGAGCTCATTTTTATAGAGGTAACACTTGAGGTGAATAAATGATAAATACCAGGAAAGTAGTAGAAGAAAAATAGTTAAGAGTTGAAAGGTAGGTGAATTCAGTTTGGGGAAATGTTCTTAGAGGAACTCTGATGAATTTATAATGAATTATAATACAAGCTTGAGAAATGCAGGTAGGGAACAAGCTACTGGAATAACGAGGAATAGACTGAATAAAGGTTTAAAAGCAGGAATTGCATGGTACCCATGTGCTAGACGGAGTGTTTGATACACTGTTGTTCCCATTTTAGAGAACAGGAAACTAAGATACAGGTTAATCTGCCCAAGGACATATAGCATCCCATAAGACAATATGTATGTTATATAAGCAGATATTTTGGCTCCTTAATTTACTCTCTTCTCTTATCCCTCCACTATATTATCTATAATGTATCAGCTGTCATTTATTGAGTACTTAAAGTGTACCAAACTGGATGTTAAACACACATTACTACTATGAAATTTGGGTGTTAATTATACCTATTTTACAAATGAGAAAGCTGAGACCTGGAGAGAGGTTAAGATCTAACAAAAATGGAAAGGAAGGAATAGATACATTCGGGGAATTAGAAAAAAAACAAAACACCAGTACAGTTTGCTGGTTGATAATAAAAGTGTATAGAAGTATCAAAACCAATTGAAAAAGTTTAAAGTTTGGGTGGCTAGGGGAATAAAGGTAACATTAACAACTAATATAAAATTGAAAAAGGGGCTCAAAAAGCTGAATTCCTCAGATGAAGGCAAATGGGCAAAGAGATAGAAGAGAATAATACCTTCCCAAGTTAATATATGTATTTATTGAGCTATTTTTGTCTGTTTTAATTAGTTAAAAAATAAAACTGATACCATCCAAAACTACTACTTTGTGGTTACTTTAAGTATATCTGTAGTGTTCTAGTTTTGGAATGATATGATTAAAACTTCAAAAATTCAGAGTGTATTATTATGTTAATCTCTAAACCATAAAAATGGTGCCTGGGAAAATTTTTATTATATGAGAATCATTAAGCTACAATGTAGATTGTTTATAATTAAATATGTTCACTATTTTCACCATGTTTATTCTAAATATCCTTTTAGCTCAACCAGTAAAACCAAGTACAAGAAGAAAGAAAGGAATAGACTTGGGAGACATTCAGAATTCCATTGAATCCATAAAACAAGCACAGGAAGAAATTAAAAGGTAATACATGCTAACTATTCATTTGAGTCCAGAGGAGTAGTTAAGAATCCTGTTACATAGGAAATCATAGGCCAATATTTTGCAAATCATTTACATTTTTAATATCATTACTAAACTAAAATAGAGCCTTGGCTTCTGTCACCTGATGACTGAAATGCATGAAAATCTTTCAGCACTGCAATATTGGGGGAGATGTTGAGATTGCTTTTTCTCATCTCTGAGCGTGAAATTGGAATCTCTTTATCTTACTGCTGTAGCATACTAAGAATGCAGCTGACCTGGATGTGGAAGTGGGTGATTTCTGAGAAAGGCCATTAAGAAAGGCTTCTGCAGTCTCCTTTGTTCATGGCTAATATTTAATTGCAATGCACCAGTTGAAATATTGAAATACTTTCACATGTGGATAAAGAACCACTACCCTGAGACCTTCATGTGCCCCACTGGCAGTCCCAGACCTTTTCCCCACACACCTCCCAGATCCAGCAACTAAAAGTCATTAACACCTACACAGGTTCCTTGGAGGGAAAAGGAACTTACACTGCTCCTTGCTAAAGCTAGCATGAGTTCAGATCAGTTGTCTCCCATTGCTGTATCAGATGTTAAATTTTTTTAATACTAGCCACCCTGCTTTTGTCTATTCAGTACTTAGCACTAGATGTTCTGGAAGATTTTTTTCAAAGATATTTTCTCTTTTCATAGTGATCTTATAACTCATATTTAGTTGCTATTTTCATCCACAGCCTCATCTCCTGCCATTCCCCTACCACGTGGTCAGCAAACCGCGGCTCACGAGCCACATGCGGCTCTTTGGCCCCTTGAGTGTAGCTCTTCCACAAAATACCACGTGCGGGCACGCACATACAGTGCGAGTGAAACTTCGTGGCCCATGCGCAGAAGTTGGTATTTTGTGGAAGAGCCACACTCAAGGGGCCAAAGAGTCGCATGTGGCTCGCGAGCCGTAGTTTGCCAAGCCGCAGTCTGCCGACCACTGCCCTACACCAAGCATGTCAAACTCAAAGGCTAACACTGGCCAAATAAACAAGGTTTAAGTTAACGTGGGTTGCAAAAAAATAAAAGCTTCAATTTTTATCGAAGCGTAGGTTTATTTTGATAGAGACATGCTGAATACAAGGGCTGAAATAAATGAGTAATTGTTAGCATAAAATAATAGAACATTTTAATAAAAATTAATATTTTTTCTTGAACATTAATTTACCAGACACTGAATAACTGCACAAATTAATAAGCATAACGCAAATAAACCTATTTTTCTTGTTCTCTGAAAGCGAAATATTTCCTCCTTACGCACACCGAACAAGTCAGTCCAAGACTAAATACGTGGCCATTGGCTGCTAAAATATTCGCTGCTGGTATTAGTGGAGAGAAATGGTGTGCCTGTGCATAAGGCGAGTAAGGGAAATGAATGCAACACAATCATAGTGATCAGTCATTAGTGAACGTTGTAGTTCATTTTTAATAATTATGTGTAACAGGATATTGTAAAAATTAAGTTACGAAATTTTTATTAAAACGTTTCTTACATACCATTATATTGGCTGGGCCACAAAAACGTTCGTTGTGGGCCGTGAGTTTGACCTGCTTGCTCTACACCTATCCCACGCTTCAGTCCTATGACTCTCCTCACATCTTCAGACTATACTCTTCTCTCGCATCTTTGGATTTTTGCCCACACTGAACCCACTTCTTAGATGGCCCTTCCTCCCACCCTGCCCATCAAAAAATCCCTGTTTATCCTTCAGAATATAACTCAAATGCCATCCTTTTTGTAACATGTCTCATCACTTACCTTCCCCTGTAGGGTTATTAATGCCTCCACTCAGATTGTTTAGCTCTCTGTACATATTCCTTTGGAGCATGACTCTATCAAAATAGACCTACGCTTCGATAAAAATTGAAGCTTTTGTGTGTCTGTTTATCCCTGCTGGACCATGAGCTCCTCTAGAGCAGGGAGCCTGTTTTCTGCATCTTGATATCATTGACCCTAACAATGTGCTCACATTTTCTAATTTAATTATATTTATAAATTGAGTCTACTTTTTTGTTTTGCCTCCTTTTCTTTCTCTATAGTGGTAAGACACTTTAATAGAAGAAGTCAGAAAAAGAAACGGTCTTCACTAATCAGCTCTTTTTAGCCAAAAGCAGTTAGGGTGGCATGAGGATATTTTAAACTCACTTCATAATTAAATTGAAATTTTATTTTTATTTGCATATGAAATGTCCATAGAGCATTCTCTAAGTTATGAATGTCATGAAATCTGTTGCATTATTTTTTTCTGGGTAATTTAGGATTTTTCTTCAATTTCACCTCTGTCTTCCGAAAGTAAAGATAAAGAACCTTAGTGGGCCAACTAAGATGCAAAATTTTTGTTTTAAAGCCACTGTAATAACAGAGAAGGTGATATATTTCTACATCATCAAACTAATAATTATGTTTGATGCACAGCATTAAGTAATATATTTGGTACAATGTGGAATTTAGATTTAGACAAGACCTAATAATAGCTTCACATAGGTCCTTGTTCAGGCAGCAGTGATTGAGATACTTTTGTTACTGTAATTAAGTGCTCTGTGGCCATATATGAAATTATGAATTCTGTGCTAACATTTTTCACAAATAATTTAAAAATTTACTGTTGCTTATTTTTGTAGAAATATTACGGCTCTTCGAAATCATTTAGTTTCAAGCGCACCTACCACGGATTATTTTTTGCAACAAAAAGACTACTTCATCATTTTCCTCCTGATTTTGCTTCAAGTTGTAATAAACTTCATGTTTAAATAGTTCTGTACAGTAAACTATTCAATGAACTGGAATGATCAGATTCGGCCTGGGATCAATGTTCAAGTTGGTTTAGTTTTATTAAAACATCACTATATTTCTGAAACAAAACCTTAGAGATAAATGCAGAGGTGTTGATCTTTCATACCGTTTATCTTTAACCTGAAACAAGAGCTATTCTGTTTGGTTATTAAAGTGAGCTATGTGTTACGTGCCAGAACATTTCTAGTTTTTGTGAGAATGTGTCTACATGTGAGTATAATAAATCCACATGTATACACAACTGTGTCTTATGTATACCTGATAGTCTTTGTATTCTATAGTATGTTCTGAGATATAGCACTAATGGTCATAACAAAAATGTTATCAATATTATAAATATGTGTATTAACTCTTTTCTTCATAACAGGCACAAACTTTTATCAGTAAAGAATTACAAAATAGGAAATGATGGGATAATAAACATATTATAAATAGTTCAATACACTCTAGTGTTTAAAAAAATCATTTCCCAAAATAAAAATAAATAAATAAAAAATCATTTTCCAAGCACCTAGCTCAATAGTCTTCTTAGATAAAGCAAGAAAAAGTGGTCAAAATTGATATATTGAGATACACAAGGTGGCAATTTGCTTTTTTTAAAGTTTACACAAGATTATCTTTTTTTGCCCCCTCGAATTTAATATTTATAAAGGTACAAATGTACACAGGTGTATATCAATATAAAAAAAGATATACAGCTACTTGGATCTGTTGATTATATCTTTCTTACATCTATATACTACTACCTTAAGCACTTGCTGATAAAAGTGTGGTCAAAATTGGTTGCTGTCCTTTTTTCTTATTTTTGTTTTTTTAATTCAATCTGATAACACAGTCCAAATTCTAGAGATGTTTATATGGCAGCGATTTTCAGCCTTTTTCATCTTATGGCACCCATTAACTAATTACTAAAATTCTGCAGCACACCAAAAAATAAATATTTTGCTGATCTGACAAAAAATAGATATAATTTTGATTCATTTACACTGGACAGCTGTTGTATTGGCTGTTGTCATTTTTTATTTGACAATCTAAGGAAAAAAAGATCAGTGCCCTTGACCAAATAGTCAGATATTGCATGTTTTAAAAATTCTTGCAGAAAAATAAATTTTATGGCACACCAGTGTGCCTGCCACAGCACACCGGTTGAAAATTGTAATTATAAGGCATATGAAATGCTGAAAATTCATGTTTTTTTCATTATGAAGAACTTATTTTAGCTTTCATTTAGACTGCAGTGTGCTCAGTGAATAAACAGGAGAAATTATAACCAACATTTTATTTTAAAAGCCGAATAAAAGAAAGATGCTTTGTATGGTGGCATTTATATGTACAATAAAATTAGTTTCTTTAAAATGTGCAGTAAGTAGAGCATCAAGTTCTGAAGTTTAATTTTTTATTCTCCTTGGTTCCTAGTAACTTCATTCTGTTACAAAACCATAATTCTTCAAGATTCCTTTTGTTCAGGCTCAAACTTTTCCTACTTTTCTTTTCAGGTTAATATTTTTACTTTATGTTTTTTACATAAATGTAGTCCTCAAAAGCCATTTTTACAAATGTAAATTAAGCGTAGGAACGTGTTCTAAGATATATCTTAGAAACCTGAAAATACCAGTTTTGAAAATAAAGGCAGAATAATTGCTCTGGCTACATTTGCCTTTGACTAAGAAGAGACTGTTAGACACTAGTAAAATTACAATCAGCTGTTTATTGCCATGATAAATATAAAATCAAAGAATGGTTGCTAAATTATGAAAATTGAAAATGATAAAGGAGCCTGCTTTCCCCCTCCCCCTAACCATTATAGCTATCTTAAATATTCTAAAGTTTTATGAAGAGCCATTTCCTGTGTATTTTTGGCAAAACAATGTATTCCATATGTGCATGTGAAACATAGTTTAAATTGATTAAAACATAAATAAGATGTACCTATACCTAGTATAAGTATAGGTATAATGTGAGTACACTAGAACAAGTGGGGGATTTTTGCTGGTATTTCATTCTTGTCAATACAATTTTTGTATTCTCTGTTACCAATGTTATGCTCAACTGCCTATTCACTGATATATATTTTGTAAATATTGTACAATTTGATCTTTTTTATGGTTTAAATTAGTATTAATTTATATTACATATAACTTAATTGGCTGATCACAAAGTCATTTCATCATTAAACCCTGAAAACTTAACATTTTTGTTGGTAACCCCCTTTTGGGGTTTTAGTCTTAGCTGCTTGTGGGTTATTTACATTTGGTCTAAATAGTGTTTATTTGTATAGGTATCTTCTAAGACTGGAAACATATTTATTTACTTTATTATTTTCCTTTAGGGTAGATGTTATGGGTTCTGATTACCCAACGAGTCAAAAACTATTTCATGAGAAAGCAGGGTTACTTATGACTGTTCCTTATACACTAAAAGCATATATCTAATCCAAAGGTCTTCTTATGCTTTTAGTTGTATGAGTTCCTTTCTGCAAACAGAACACAAAACTCAGGAATTGGTGGCTTAGTTTTAGATCAATGCTTATACCAGGTTTAGTATGTGAATCTTTTAAAACACAAAATTAACTTTGTAGTTAGCCATATATGTTATTGACTTTGAATGTTCTCTACCTGGAATTACTCTTCCTTCACACATGGATTCATAAAAATTGTGATTTACAGTTCTCAGTTGTCTGAGAACTTTATAATGATTTCTAGGATTTAAGATCTTATATCCTGTTTATTTTCATTTGATCAAAAATTTTATTTTTTCACATGAAAATTAAGGTAATAATTGACATGTGCATTTCTATTTTGGTTGTTAAGTGTATTATACTTTCAGTTATTCACCATTTAATGAGGGGTAACTGGCCCAGGAAAAGACAATAAACAGGGCATGTGAAATAAGTAAGTTTCAGCAATAGATATTTACTATATTTCATGTCAGTACTTTTTGTATCATTTATAAAGTGTAAACTTTGTCACCATTCCATTGAAAAAGTTGGCCTTGTAAAATACAACCCTCATGTAGTAGTATTCACGCTTTTGTGCCTTTAAGAAAATACTTTTACTCATTTTGTGTTACAGAACTATATAATATGATTCAAAGTGTTTATAGGCTTACGTGTCATAAAGGGTCATTTCTCTTTGTCACCTTATTTCCTTTTATATAGCTAAGTATATTTCAATGGTAATGCTGTACTTTTATAAGGGTTTGTCTATTTACCTATTTCAAATATATTCACTCTCAGACATCATTGAAGTAGACTTGTGAGATTATTCTGAGTATTGTAAACGGTGCCTTTCTGATGGAATTCACACTGTTTTGGGTGTCAACTTGTGCCATAAATACACAAAATTCTGTGAAAGGCAGTTTTAACTTTTTGAAGAATATCTTAGTCAAATATTTAAGAAAATAAATGTATAAAATTCCATTTTCCTAGTGTTGAGCATTTCTAGTGAGCAGTGAATATATTTTGGGGATTTGTTTGACATAAGTTGATAATGACATTGCTGTTGAGCCATATATGATGCTCTAGATTATTTTGAATTATGTTAAATGTACAGAACTAAAATATTAAAATTAGCATTTATACCAAATTCTCCAATTTGAACCGATGGTGGGGGGGACCCCACACAAATCACTAAGTTTACATTTCAACGTCTGATTACATGGAAAAAGAAATTCTTTAAAAATATATAATCTGCCGCTATTATGTAATTTGGTTTCGTTTTGTTTACCTATAGTGTGAATTTAGTATATTTAATTTACTTTTTGTTACTCTTAATATAGCTTGTTTTGTTACAGTTTTTATTTGAAGACAGACTATTAAAATTGTATAGGACCAGTATCTCCTTAATATGATTCACATAGTTAGAAGAGCCACAAGAACCCTATGACAAAATGAATGTGAATATACTTTCTAAAAAATTTAGAAAATTTTATCTTTCTGCATTTATCATGTAAAATTATTTTAGTATTATAATATTGAAATTTATTTAAAGAAAAATGCCACAAGACATTTGAACTGATGAGCCACAGAATGTCAGTTGAAAATTTTTTCACTTTTTAGCATGCTAAATATACATCTAAGTTAAATATTCTGGTTGATGGCCACTTATAAATTCACACTACCACTGGTCAGTTTGTATAACAGAATAAAAGTATGTTATCTGCAGTGTAAGTACAGCACAATGTCAAATTCTTTTCCTTGAGGTGCATCGTAAATGTACAGATAGTCATAGGCTACTGTTTTGTAATGTATTACATTTCTAATCTATTATTCCTAACCTATTATGTGTGCAGAGACAAAGAATTGAATTTTTCTAATGATCTGTAAAATCATGCTAACTTCTACAAGTAGGCATTCTAAATAAAATTTTATAAAAGCAAATCGTGATCAAATGACTTTGAATATAACACATTAAATTACTAGTCCTCATTTTTTAATTAAAAATTTTAATGGGTGTAGTTGTGAAGGATGGTGCAGAGTTTGGAAGGGGTTTAACAGAATCCCTAATGCTTGCTTTATTTGGTACTTTATATTCATTTCTCTTTGAGCACTCATAATAACCTTAAGGTAAGTGGAAGTTAACCCGATTTTATAGAGGAAGACTCTGAGGCTCAGAGAAGTTAAATGATTCCAAAGCTTCATAGAGTAAGGGTGATGATAACAAGCACAAGTTTGGATCCAAGTCTAACTGCAGCATCCATTGCTTTTTCACTGCACTTAAAGAGAACTCTGCACCACTTTTAAGTGTTTGGAATAATCCTCTGCTCTAATCTTTATTGAGTAATGTAACCCCTTTGTGATGGGTAGAACCAGAAAAAAAACAACACAACTTACTATTAAAGAAGCATACACACAAAACCCATATGAAAAAGGTTTTCCCTCTTAAATCACTTTTATGTCTATAATGATATCAGATAAGTTCCAAGAAATGACTCTTCTCTGGTTTTCCTCATCCTCTTGCCCTCCCCTTCTCGCTCTCTCCTCAGGGTCCAGTGGCTTCTGGCTAATAGTCAGTTGGTTCTGTCTTGTTAATTGGGGGAAGAGAGGGAAGGGCTTGTAGCTTTTGGAACACAGGAGTAAGGGGCAAGGAAAACAGCCCCTCACTGTTCGACCTCAATGAAAAAAATCTACAAGATGCTTTTCTTACTAATAATTGGCCACACTCTGGGATGTCCTGTGTTATGCTATTACCCTAATCGATTTTTCTGCACCTTACAGAATATCCCTTTCTTGTAGAGATAGTA